AGTAGTAGTAGTAGTAGCAGCAGGTCTTAGTCGGTAGTCGCAGGAGCTCGGTAGTAGTTGTTGCTTCTGCATTGTCGTTTTTGTAAGACGTTGCAAGAGTTCGAAGTAGTCAAGCCTTTAACTCCTGCGTTGTATTCAAGGCCGTTGCAGGTTTGGATTGCTGGCTTTCGGGCATAGCGGCATAGCGGGGTCAAGGAGGCCCTACCTGTGGGGAATCGCAGCTTGGGCGGTTATGTACGTAGGGGTTCAAGGTAGAGTGTTCAAGATGCATCCCAAAAAGTACCCTTGCCAAGTCGTGTTGGTCATATCCGTCTTTCGATGAGACTTGATCCAATATCTTTCGCTTAAGAGTGCCTTGGTTTGCTGGTTACTTGTGGCTGTATGTCAAAGGGGGTCTTGCGGGTTGTAAAGTATGGAGGTTTTGTGGCATTCAATAGCCGTTTTCTAGGCATCCCTGCTACAAAGTAAGGGGTCTTCCCTGTTTTCTGGCAATGACATCTCGAAACCTGGGGATTCCTGTGTGCCCTTTATGGGGGCCTTGTACCAAGGATCCTAGGTTGTTCGGCTTCTACTTGCTGAAACTCTCCTGGGGGGGGGGGGGGGGGGGGGGTTGGGAGTTTCGGATGGGTCCCTGTTTCAGGCGGAGTGCCACGTGATGAGGTGGCACAGGTCACCGAGACGATGGTGCGAAAGATGTGCCTGGAGGCGGCTTTGGGGCCTCCTTCGTGAAACCGGTTTAGGGGTTAGGGTTTAGGGCGTGGTCTGTGCAGTCAGGCACATCAGCACAACTTGTGCGAGTATCTCTCGGGCGGTAACAAGCGCAAGCTCTCGACGGTCCGGGCACCAAGTCTGGGTCCTTAGGGCAGCACCCAAGCCAGGCCTGATAGACCTCTTTGAGGTGTTGGTGGGTTCTGGTAAATTCACGCAGAGGGCGAGCCCAGGCTCAATTTCAGAGAGACAGCAGACCCACCTGCCATGAGCCCTCAAGCAGTTCAGCAGTTCAGATGGGCTGGGCGTGTCGCTTCTCCGTGTCAGGCCAGTACCACACGAGATTCGGGAAGTCTTGTCCGGAACTTGAGTTACATACAGCCAAAGGAATCCACCGAGGAGATGAGATGCTGCAACAAAAGAGCGATATTCTCGATAAGGTCAAGACGAGCGAGAACCGTAAAAATCATAGTAACCACAGTCATTAAACTTTCAGGGGCTGCTCAGAATTTCCATGAATAAGAGCCGGGAACAAAGGGGCTTTGTCTACAGAGTTCAAAGGGTTGTTATGATGGTTTCAAAGTGGTCTAGGTTTCTAGGGGCTGTTGAAGGGTTGCTACACAGGTGTCTAGGCTTTCTACGCGGCTGCTGTAAGGGGTTTTTATACGAGGCTTCCTGCAACAGTCCCGCGCATGTCCGCCTTCTGCAATCATGCTCCCGCCTTCAGAGCCAGGAGCTTGACGGGTTAATTGTACCACTTTGCGTGCATAGCTGTGAGAAGCTCATCTGCCGTTCAGAAGCTCGGTTGCCGTGGGATGGCAGCAATTTGTCAACACACGCTAGAAAACATCAGGAAACAAGCATCTGCTTAGTACTTGTTGGGATGGCCGGTGATGCTGTTTGCTTGTAGGGGCGTCTGTGCTGCGAGTTGAGGTGCGGTTCTAAAGGCAATTGGGTTGTCATAGGCAATAGACTATCTGGCCCGACATCTCTACCCAAGGCAACTTCTTTAATCCTGAGGGGTATTGGCTACTACAGAGGCTTAAATCAGTACCAATACTACTGTTGATGATATAAATCCTGCATTACCTTAAGGGCCCTAAACTATGGGAATTATGGTACATTCCTTGTTATGGGTGGGCAATGCAGGCAGGCTTTATATCCTCCACCGTATTTTGTTTTTTTTGGGGGGGTCCTTAATCTGACTATAGTATAGCAAACCCCAGAACCCCTATTCTAAATGTTCAGGCGCTTATACTACACCCTCATAGTATCCCTTCTAGACCCCTTTCACAAGAATCATATTCCAATGATTAAGGCTCCTATACTACACCCTTATGGTATGCCTCATAGTAACCCCTATAAGGAACCCTAAGCCCTAAACCCTCAACCCTAAAACCCAAAACCCTGAACCCAAAGCCCTAAACCCTAAACCCGAAACCCTAAACCCCTAAGCCCCTTCCTTTAAAGGAGCCCAACTAGGCCAGCTCCAGCTCCGGCGCCCTAAACTGGGTCTTTGTTGGCTACATTTTTTTCATTTTTGTGATAAAAAGAGACCCAACAGGGATTAAGAATGATCAGTTTTGATATAAAGGAGCCCTACAATCTTACATTTCAGGGATTAAAGAATGATCATGTTTGAATGTAGCCCCAGCAGGGAACCAGCAAAAGATCCAGAGCCAAGAGGCCCTGGCTCTCATCGGCGAGCCGGATGTAGTGCTCTTGGACGAGCCGTCCACCGGCGTCGATGTGCCTTGGCTTTTTGGATTCAGGGTTTAGGGGTTTAGGGTTTAGGGGTTAGGGCGTAGGGGTTTCGGGGTTTAGGGTTTCGGGTTTTTGGACGAGCCGTCCACCGGCGTCGATGTGCCTTGGCTTCGTTCTTGGGGCTATACTTTTACTGCACTGTTTGCTGTAATGTTTCTGTAATGTTACTATGAAATGACCACAATACTACTATACTTTACTATTACTGTCATAGTTCTGTTAATGTTACTACGACATTACCACAACATTGCTATACTAGTACCATCAGACTCGACCGCATGGGACTTTTATCCCTGGGCCATGAATCGAGGGTTTTCTCGAGCGCCTTAGGAAAAAAAGTTGTTCGACCTCGAGTCGAATGTGCTCAGAATGCATGCCGGGTGGCAAAACTTGAGCTAAGTCCCCATGGTTCTTGGGCTAAAGACTGGGGGAAGCCAAAAGCCCTAAGCCGCTAAAGCTTAAAACCCCTAAACCTCCAAACCCTTAAACCCCATGGATACGGGGCTAAAGAATGAGGGAAGCCCCTAAACCCCTAAACCTCATGGATATGGGGCTACAGAATGAGGGAAGCCTACATGACTATTGGGATCCAGACTCGAAGGACTGAGGGGCCCTGGGTTTCGATAAGGCCCTCATTTGGAGTGCACTGCACAAGGTTTCCCCCCGGGGCGTTCCCTCGTCGGATTAGGATTGTAGGGTTGAAGAACGACTACTACTGAGGGTTGCCCTGAGCGAAGAGCTGTAACCCTTGAACCCCGAACCCTGTTTGAGAGATATTGTTTATGAACTTTGGGTTCACGGGTCTGGGGCTCAAGGAATAGAGGATTATGGTCTATGCTTAAAGTCTTCGTAAGTTGAGACCCCTCACGACCTTTTTGGGGGGACTTCAGGCTTTTTTTTTGGTTGGGGGGATGTCTCTAAACATGAGCTCTCGACAAAAGAAAAGTTCCAAAGCCCAAAGCTTCAGCGCAAAACGCCGACTTCAAGCAACGGACCGCAGGTTGGTGCACGCCGCTTTCTGTGGGAGGCCTTGGGTTCAAGACTTCGCGATGGCTGACGGTTTGGGGGGTTTAGGGTTTAGGATTAAGGGTTTAGGGCTTTAGGGGTTTAGGGTTGTAGGGTTTGGGGGTGTAGGTCTTTGCAGAACTCCAATCCGGCCATGGCACCCTCGATGCCACTTTGCTGTGCCCCACATTCACGGCGTTAATACTTCTGAACCGCATTCCGGCGCCTTGCCCACCGCCACTTCATCCCCAAACGTTCAGCATCGCTGGTGGCTTTAAGTTTTCGAGTCAATGTCCTTGCAGACGCACCCTGCTTGCCGAAGCTTCGACATGCTGCATCCTTCAGCATTGAACGCCTCCGAATCTGAAAACAGAAGCCGTACTTGCGAGTCCCTGTTCCACAACTCTTTGCTTGCACTTATTCGTCAGCTGGTGAGTCTGCAGCGATTGAGGGTTGAGCCTAGGGACGTAGAGCTGCTACAGACCCGACTGCCCGGACTCGTTTCGATATACTTGCCCCACTCCCTAAATTACCCCCCAAAACCCCAACAAACCCCAAAACCCACCCAAGCCCAAACAAACACAAAACCCCCAAACCCTGAACCCTGACCCCGCACCCCTAAACCTGCAAACCCCAAGCACCTCGTAGCATGTGCAGATCATCGGCGACATCCGGCTGAACGGTCACGCCGTCGTGCTCACGAGCCACTCCATGGAGGACCTCGTCTGCGGACGGCCGAAGGTGTATTTGGTAGTCGAAAGGGCAATTGCGGTGTTTGGGGTCGTTAGGGCTTTGTGGTTTTCGATATTAGGATGGAGTTAGGCTCCGAGTTTCGGCTTTTGGAATTTTGGTCTTCGTGCCTTCCACCTTCGATCATCAAGACGAGGATCATGCTGGGAGTTGATGTAACATCCGCGAATCCCGGCTTTAAAACTTCAGCCCTAGACCCTAAACCCTTTGAAGTCACGCCTGCGCTGGCCTATACCCTATACCCCCACGAAATGGACCCGAGCAGGAGTGCGAGGTGCTCTGCACGCGCCTGACCATCATGGCCGCCCTTGTATCGTTTCATTGTGTTAGGGTTTTAGGGTTTAGGGGCCCGAAAAGCTACCAATTGTGTTCCGTGGGACTCCATAATGTCAGTATGGTATGATACAGCCCAGAACGTTTTTCTTATACTCTTGCGGCCTTCATGTTTGAACGAACCGGATGGGACAATTACCCATGACCTGATAGATCGGGGTTTGGGCGTTTCTGGAGCCCGACTGTGTGTGTCGCCCTTAATTTCTCCGCCGGACTCTGAACTTGAAAGTGAATTAGGGATAAAATACTGAAACGGTTCGGAACTCCGAAAACAGGGATCCTACTACCCTAAACCCTAGACCGCTAAACCGTAAACCCTAAATCCTAAAAGCCCTAACCCCAAAACCCTAAAACCCTAAACCCAAAAAAAACCCTAAAGGCCTAAACCCCTAAATCCTACTGTACTTTCGTTGAATCCACGGGCCTTGGTTGGAGAAGATCCTTCCTACGAAGAGCTCGGGAAGAAGCCCTGGCGGCCCTGGCGCTCCAACCCGTTTGGCGTGTAGGGTTCAGGGCTTAGACTTAGTTCTCCAAAACCCAACCTTTAAACTTTTTGGGTTCTTATAACTTAGTAATTTAGTAGCAATCTGTTTCCCTGGCTTATTGGGGAAGTAAGTAGAAGCAGAGTTTCAAACATAGAGAGTCCCGACGTAGGGGGGGCCGTTGAATTAGGATCCTAGCAATCAGGGCGGCTCCTGTGCGTACGCTTTGGACTGCTTGGCCCATCCAAGAAATGCCAGCACGGGCCGCAAGAAGCCGCCTCACTACACACGCAGACACACACACACATATACACACACACATACACACACACACACACGCGCGCGCGTGCACACAACAATCCGCGCATCCAACACACCGAAACCTGAAGCCTCGACCGATTTGTCTGAAAACTTCACCGTCTCGTCATCGTGAGCTGCTTGTTTAGGGCTTGAGGGTTTCGGGGTCGAAGCTTAGGTCTTGTTTTCGGTTAGGTTTGTGCCAACGACTGTTTCCAGAATTCAGAAAACAAGTTCCGGAAGCGTAAGACAAGCCAGGTTCACGGCCAGTTCCGCTGCTTGGGAAGTCCCGTCGAGCTCAAGGCCAAAAGACCAAGACGCAGGGTAGCAGTGGTGGACGTAGAACTGGTGGTAGTCACGTGGCAACAGTGGCAGTAGCAGTTGCCGCTGTGTCTCTTGCTGTTGGCCTTGGCAGTCTTCCTGCTGTGCTTGATCCTGAGGCTGACACTGCAACCTCGCGCACAACAAAGTCTAGACTGTTGGAGTTTTGACTTTGGGGTGGTGTCGGGTGAGGGGCTGTTGCTTGACGTCGTTGCAAGACTTCTTTGGGGCTAGCAAAAGCTAGACGAGTCCTCAATGCGGCAGATTTCCTAATCCCGATTGCTTAGCAGTCTTATTTCAAAGTACAGACCCGAACATTATTTTTTTTACACATCTGATTAAGAAATGCCCAATCTGAGGAATCTGAGGGTTCGGGGCTTGGCAAGTGAATCCATTTCTCTCCTTCCGGGTCCTGGGCAGGTTCAAACCTTTGTTAGACCCTCGACACCGCTCAACGCCTCACAGGCTTATAGTGTGGTTGCACTTTTCACAACATCTCCACCGGAATGCCGGAATGCCCTCTCAGGCTTTCAGTCTCTTCCTTGCTAGGCCAGATACGGTGGTGGCTACAGCCTGGCAGCCGATAGCTCAGCTCAGCTGCAGAATCGCCTAACTTGGGCTCAGACCCTGAGGTCTGAAGCCTTCAACACGCACCAGCGGACCCCTTTGAAGTTAGCGAAGTTAGATCGCTTTCCTCGGCAAGTCTACATATGTGGTTCAGGAGTTCCTTAAGCCGCTACTCCCGGGCCCCCGCCCCCAGTACACGAGACCCTAGATCCCTTAACCCATAAAACCTCCAAATCTGTAAACCCTGCACCCCTAAACCCCCAACATCGTACAAACCCCCATAGTTATCCCTGAAGCCTCAGACCCCGCATCCTGAAAAAACCCTCATCTTCAAGCTGAAGCCCTGAATCCGAAACCCAGAGTTCGAAAGCTACTGAAGCCGTGTAACAGCTTAACAGACTCGGCGGCTCTAAAGAGGTAGCAAGAGCCACATGTAGCAAGCCGCGTAGTGCTAGTAGCCACACTTCTTCTAAGAGCTTGGAAATACAGATCAGAACAGCAGCAATGATGAAGATAAGAGTTTCGCTAGTAGTCACAACATCAACTGACCCCCTAAGAACTGAGCAGATTGGACTCTCCTCAGGCTTTCGGTGATCCGTGCTCCTGCTGTAAGAAGCCATAGCCGTAGCCAAAGGCAACTACCCGTAGGCTCCATAGTAGTTCCTTTATGTGGTCTATATTCAGGATCCTATAAGGTAATCCCAAAAAAAACAGGATCCTTTAAGGTAATCCCAAAAAATGAGGATATTATCAGGGTAGTCCCAAAAAGGGACTACTATGGAGCCCTCCCCACCCGTCAGCAAAGCTGCTCAGGTGAAAAGCCTCCCGGGCCAGGACTGACAGAGTTGACTCTTCGGGTTGAAACGGGGATGCAGATACCCGGGGAAGGAAACATGAATATATACATATTATGTGCATATGCATATATATATATGTACACACACACATATATATATACACATATATATATATATATTTCTGATTTTTATTTTATATACATATTATATATATATATATATTTATTTATCTATCTATAGATAAATATGTACATATATATATATATGTGTGTGTGTGTGCGTGTGTGTGATCGACAAGGTGTAGGGTACTGATCTACACCTCGAGGGATGCAGGCCCTTGGCTTTTTGGTTGATGTGTCCATGCTCCTTCCATGCATGTGCTTTGCTTGGAGGCTCATGGGTAGTTGCAAGTAGGGTTATAAGTAGGATAATTCTAGTTACAACCCAATTTCAAGGACTTACATAATCCGACTTATACCTCAACCCTTAAATCCTATACCTAAACCCTAAACCCTATACCTAAAGCCTAAACGAACCCTAAACCCTAAACCCCTAAACCCTGAAGCTCCCAGCAGGGCCTCATAGTCGTCTCTAAGCCTTATATCGAAACGAGCGATGCAGCCGTCGTGAGGAAGCCCTCGGCCGCAGCACGGAGCAAAACACGGAGCTTCGGCTGCACTCGAAGCGCAACTGGGGTTCTTGTTGAGGGATTTATCGTCTAAGTTACCATAATTAGGGATCTGCAGTAGATAATATGGCTTCTTTCTTATGGCAACATAAACTAAGTAACCCTAACGCCTAAACCCTAAACCCCTAAACCCTAAACCCCTAAACCCGAAACCCGAAACCCCTAAACCCTAAATCCCTGAACCCCTAAACCCCGAAACCCTATACCAGGTAAAGGAGACCGAAGGTTGGAGAGCAACAGTCGAGGTTTCAGTTCCTGGTCGAAAGTTTTGACAACCACAGAACACCGCTACAAACCCTCGTTAAGGGTTGAGGGTTTTAGGGCCTTAGAGTTTAAGGGCCTTAGGGTTTTAGGTTTTAGGGTTTTAGGGTTTAGGGTTTAGGGAAAAGCCTGGGGAAAAAGTGAAGCCCGGCCTTGCACGGCATCAGGCTCAGATCCGTGAGTTCGTTCGCAGCAAGGTGGGTAGCGCTCGGATTTCAAGGTGTCGGAAGGTTTTTTTGGGTGTTTGGGTCGGGCTTGTGGCTCTGAAAGTTTTGGATGTTGGAACGGATTCTGGTAGAGATTTGAAGGGGTCCAGAGCAGTCCCCAAACGGCCGTAGCCAAGAAACCCAAACTAAGCCCTGGATATGTGAGATTTATCTTCATGCAAACCCCAAAAACCCTAACCCCAAACCCTAGACCCTAAACCTCTCAACCCCCAAACCCCCAAACCTAGTAGGTATCTGGGATTCAGGCCTCAAGGTTCAGACGTCCCTCGCCCTGATACTTGGCAGAGCCATGGCCTGCACCCTGAGCCCGAAGAAGATTTCAGAGTAATATAGGAGCCTTAAAATTTTAGAATAGGGTTTTGGGGAGTTTCCTTTAAAAGGATCCTTAAAGGGTTCGATAAAGGGCTACTGAAAGGGTTTAGGGCTTAGGGGCCTCAAGAACTAGAGTAAGGTTTTGGGGTATGTTACACCATACTTATGATAAGGAAACCCGCCAAAACAGTATGCGTAATAACTTTAGGCCCTATAGTAGACTCAGGGTTCCGTGGCTTGGGCTTGAAGTTTAGGATGCAGAGTTCAGGGATCAGGGTTGAGTTGTCGAAGTTTAGGTTCACCTGCAGCCGAAAAGACCTACCGTTTTAGGGTTTAGGGTTCCTGAATAAGGTGTTTATCTAAAGTTCCCGAGGAAGGTAAATGTAGGGACAGGTAGGCCTTCGACCTCAGCCGTTTTAGGATTGAGACTTACCAGACTTAATGTAGTAACCTGATTCAGACGCGCTGGTCCTATCACTCCAAAATGGGTAGTTCTCTAAATTGAGTTTTGTTTTAGGGTCCTTTTTATAAGAGTGCCCTACTATATTAGGGACCTACGAAATGGACCCTAATTTAGAGAACCCCCCATGTAAGGAACCCTAAAAATCCCCAGATTTTCTTAATCAGGTTCCCAGACTTACCGGGAAAGGAGAGTGGGTCGCGCGCACTCGACTCACGGAGCATTCCTCCTCATCCTCTGTTTTGAAAAACACCATACGGTTGTGGGCATATATTATTTCCGTAATAGCAATAATAATGTTGTTAGTGTGTATTATTCGCATTATAT